GGGGGGGGACTTGGTGAAGGGGGGAGCCTAGTAAACATAATATCCTTCATGTAATTGTAGATTAATGATACCAAAATAAAAAATAAAAATAATAAAAAATAAAAAAAGGATGGACTCACAAAACCCGAGGCACCCCAACCTTGACTCCAATAAAGGCAGCCCCCAGGTCTATGCTTGCTCTGTCTCTCTGTAGCAGAGACCTCACATTCTGTGTAACCTTCCAGTACTTGTGAGTAATAAACTTATCTTTTCAAAGTTCTCTGATGGTTGTTGCTGAGGTGCCCCCTGCAATCATAAGAACCACAAGGGCCAGTCCAGCCACATATTGGCTCCAGTAAGGGAAATGTCTGTGGGGCCTGACCACAAGTAGCATGGCCCAGGTGAGGGATCCCAGGCATTTTCAGCCCAAAGCACCTCTAAAGAAAGGCTGAGCCTGACACAAAACAGCAGGTCTCTGGGTTAGCTGGGCTAACATGTATGATAAGCCTTGAAATGCTATGACCCTTTGACTAGCAAAGTGTTCTTCCAGAGATCTAGCCTATGGATGTAAACACAAAGATGAAGAAATTTGTATGCATAATGGTGTTTGTCACAATTTATTTGTAACAATTAAAAATTGACCTATAATTAAATAAATTATGGTATATTCACCTCTTGTAATAATAATTAGCCCTTTAAAACAAAGTCAAGAAATATAAAATTGAAGTCCTCCTTCCTCAAAGATCCTAGAAGCTTTTCTGTTTCCTTCTGGTGAAGTCAAGATGCCATTCCCAGGGTTTGTCTGGCAGCTCAGTGATATCATCAAGGACTCTTCCTAAAACATCTCTCCTTCCCCATCATTGTGTTGGCTTTTCTTCTTTGGGCTTGTCACCTCATGGTAACAAAATGGTTGCTGCTGCTCAGGGATCACATCTTCACAAAGTCTCATCCACATGCACAGGAAGGAGTTTCATAGAAGCAGAGAAAAAGCAATGTTTTTAGTGTTTTTAATTCAAATTGCTCTTTTTTACATGATTTGTAATATGAACTGTAGATTACCTGCAGAAGTAGTAAAAGCTAATTTTAAAAATTCATGAAATACAGAAAAGAATACAAACATTTCATTTCTGAAAGCTGAGTAGGCAGCAGAGCAAGTGCACATAAGGATGTGGGAAGTTTTCCTCTACATTATTCCTGTCTTATTGTGGCATATGTGAATTCTGAGGCATAATCTGAGTAAAATTTATTTCCTTGAAGGTAGAAAAAATCCTACTACCCAAACCTAACCACTATAACATTTTGGTTTATTTCTTTCAAGTGCATTTTTTTTCCTAGGCTTAGGTAGTCCTGCTTGCTTACTTGATTTTTCACTTCTTTTTGCTGTATACCTGGGGCGGTTGAGAGACATTATTGTGGTCATGATATGGATGTAATTTTGTATTTTTCTTATTTATACTTAACATTATAGGACTTTTCTAAATCATTCCAGTATTTTTAAGAACTAATTTATGCAACCATTAGCTGAATGCATTAATATTATCATGCACTATAGTAGCACATTTGGAATTGTTATAAATAAACTGTACCACACATCTATATGCATAAAACTTTCTTCATAAATGAGGTTATTTCCATAGGGTATTTTCCTAGCTGTAGATTTTCTGGGTCAAAAATAAGGACGTTTAAGTCTCTGGATCTATATAGACATCTCATATCTAATGCATGCTCATTTCTATTACCTATTGTTAAACCCAGTGATGGCATGTTGAGACTCTTATGAATGTTTGATGAATGAAACGATTACTTAAAAGCTGACTTTGTCCCCTGTAGCCCAGGCTTTCCCAATTCTATCTGTCCATCTGGGGCTGGATCACACATGGCTTGGGCTACTGAAGACTGTGGCATCTCTGTAGATGTCACATCTGTGCAGTCAACTAGTGTGTGTTTTGCAGCTAGAAATGTCTGCTCCATGGAAAGTAGTAAGGAATGGTGAACTCATAAGTAGTTCTTGGTAGAAGGAGCCAGCTAAACTTGGTCCTGCAGTGACAACAGCTACTGGCTTCTCCAGCATGGGTTAGTCACTTCCTTAGAAATACTCTGATCAGCATGATGTCACGGGCCTTCGCACCCAGGGTATGGTTTAAGTGTGACTTGTGTGTCTAGGATGCTGTGACCGCATAGATGTCAGACTGCTCTGTGGGAGAAACTTTAGTCTGTAGCTCTTTCCATGTATTTTTAGCTCTAACGCTAACATCATCTCACTTCACACTGTCTAAAATGTTTCCACACAGTCAGCCCCAACAAGTGAGCAGTTCAGCCATTCTTGTATAGCCTGAATGTCCACATGAACCCCAGTACCCTGACATAGGCAACTTGTAACATGACACCATGCAACAACTTCCCCTCTGGCCACCTGCAGCCTCCAGCTCCTGAGGCTCTGAGGTGCCCCTAAGGGACAGGACACGAGTTGGACCCCAGAAGGATGTAGGCAGCAGTGAGTGCCCAGTCCGGTCTTGGCTTTGCCCACATTCCTCTGCCTACCCAGCACTGTTAAGGTCTCCATGGCTTCCCTGGTCAACCATCCTCCAGCAGAGCCCTCACTCACCAGTCTTGTCTGCACTACAGAGTCTACAAGTCAGAGAGTCTTGAACCCTTGTTCTTTCTTCCTTTTAGGGTTGTGCCCCAATGTTCTGAAATGACATCTAAACCATACCACTTAAGTCCTATGGCTTAAGATTCCATAAGTCAAAGCAAAGAACTTCACAGATAGCTTCAAAATGTTCTGGGCCCTTTCCCAAGGAGTTTTATCTATCCTAGCCTCTGGACCTGAAAGGCAGAGGAAGGCTAGGACCTATTTTTAGTCTAACTCAGTTTTTAGGCCTGACTCAGTCATTAACAAGATGCAAACGCCAGGTCTGTTTGGCTCCTAGGAAGAGCCAACTGGACGTCTCCCAAGGAACTCCACTCTCTGGGTGATGTACAGATGTCATCTTGCTGGGAAATGTCTGTAAACCAGATGAAGTTCCCTCAAAAGAGATGGAAAAGGGGCCAAATGTTTTAATAGCTATATTCCCTAAAAGGGGGCTAGAGACAGAATAAAACAGAAGCAGAGAGTAAGGAAAAATTCAAGGTAAAGAAGAAATGCTCAGCTTCCTTGGTTTTGGGTCCTGCTTGAAGTCCTGAGCAGCAACATCTCTGTCAGCTTCTTGGAGTTTCCACCACCCTCATAAGATAGAATAAATTGACTGGGCTTTTCTCAGACTCTTGACTGACACTTTGTCACAGGGCAGATGCCCCACCGCCTACTGCTTCTCTTTTGCTCCCCAGCACTCTCTCAGATTTGTGGCTGACCCACAGCCAGTGTCCCTACCATTGTGGAATGTCAGTAGCATTCCTGCTTCCCAGAGAGAGGCAGGACATGTGGAGGAAAGACAGCTCATGGGGCATGGGCTGGGGAACAGCTAGGCAGGGGGAAGCTTTACTTCTTTCTGGATTTTTTTCTCTCTCCCCGAGCTTTTTGGAAAAAAAAAATTACGTATGAAGCTTTGTATCTTGCTGGTTAGTATGTAATATTAAAAATCAAACATTTTCATGTCATTCTATTTGTATAACAGGCTGGCTAATGGACATCAATTGATTTACTTTATCATTCTAACATTGTAGAGTACATAGTTTGGTGTCAATTATTTAATCATAGACAAGCTGCACCAAACCACATTATCCTTGTAATTCCCCCTATTTGTA